CATCCATCAGATGTAACATTAAGACTTAGATTCCGTCTCAAATATATACAAAAAGTGAATAGTTTCATGTATTCTAAATTAATTGGAATATGAAGTTCGTTTTATGGCACTGATATCTTCACCATCAATTTTCAAATTGAGTCAATTTATTGAAAAATGTAGTGATGGGAAAACTAATTGTAAGCACAAATGTCACAACAGTTGTTTTTCAGAGGTGAAAAAGTATAAGTGTCCGCACATTAATTGTAGTGCGACCGTACAGAGCAAAACGAAATATATAGAACATTTCCAAACGCACGATAAACCATTTCATTATCAATGCAAGCATCCCGGTTGTGGGAAAGAATTCCGCATTTCATCAACATTTTCCAATCACAAGAAATCCTGCCAATACAAACCTCAGAGTGAGAACTTCCTCAGTTTTAAGTAATCACTGGAAAGGCAAAATAAATGTTCCAACAGAGTTTCTCAGTTTTGCAAATTCGGCAGAGTTTTTATCATTTATTTACTTATTTGAAATGAATGCACTTGAAAATATGTTACGGAATATCTATGACTGTGGAGTGGAACAAATTGTTCACATCGTTTGACTCAATGAAGTGATAACTAAGAAATGTTCATTATAGATTCAGCGGAAGGAAATTCGAAGTTGGGACGTACTTTGGCAGACACACGAAACCATCACATTGCCTGTCAAAGTTCAGTCAATCAACAAGATCGCTCGAATGATGAGTATCTCTCAGAAAAATTTAACATCTTGGATGACCTCGATGGTAGCATCTTCGACGATCTTAACATCCCCGACGATGTTGTTGTTGACGTCGAAGATATTAATATCGACGATGGTAACATCTTCGACGGTGTTGTTATTAATGAATGAATGTTGATATCGAAGATATTAACATGGAAAACATTAACACCGACAACCCCGATGATAATATCTTCTAATGTTAGCATCCCCGACGATGCCAACTTCCTCGAGGACTTCGAAATGTTTTGCTGTCAATTAAAACTGTCTGCTTGCAGTATATTAAAAGTATTTATGTCTCCAATTTATCTCTTCTCCTTCCCCTTCTCTTTCCATCTCTCTCCGTTTATAAATTTTATAGCAAAAAAAGTCATGAAAATTAATCTTCTTTTTCGTCTTGTAAGAATTATCTAAGGATGTCATACAAAAAGATTTTCCATTGGAGCTTTGAGCACATTTAACGGATACTTGCATTTCTTGACAAAATTTCAGAAATATCAAAAATATCTTTAACCAGTTCTGATAAATGTTTTGATGAGTAATTTGTCTACTATAATGATAAACAATTGCCCTTAAAGGTTGCTTATACAAATCTGATGTCATTAGTGAATCTGCTATCAAAGAATTAATTTGTCATTATGGATTGTTGTCGGTTAGAACTACATCAGCTATTCTGCCTGATCAATTAGGTAATACTTTGATAATAGATTGTACCACATTAAACACAATGTGGATCATGCTCTTTCAAATATACCAAATATACCAATCAACTTCTGTCAGCAAAGCCAATAACTATGAGTATGAGGTGTTTAAACAACTATGGGTTGTTTTAATTAGAATTCATAGCATTTTTCAAGTAAATGATTTGTTACACGAAATTTATAAAATAAATATTTTGGTATCTAAATTAATCAACTCATCAGTTCAAAAAGGAACCTTTTTCGACAGATGGGTCGAACAAACCACCAATCCTGTATTCCGGAATGCAGCACTGAGATCAAAATTTAATAATATCATTATTCATTTAGCAGCATTTTACATAAGTTCATGAATCCTCCTATAGCTTATTTAAAGGAAAAATAACAGGAATTATGATAATACCGATTTATGAAAAGATCAGGAGTAATGTGGAAAAAGCCCAACCTGAATATATTTACAGACACAAGAAATCCTGTTAACACAAACCTCAGAGTAAAAACTTCCTCAGTTTTAAGCAATCACTAAGAAGACACAAGAAATATTTCCGCAGAGCTTCTCAGTCTTGCAAATTCAGCAGGGTTTTTAGCATTTTTATCTACCTGAAATGAATGCACGTAAAAATATATTTCTTTCGGAGATGTGAAAAAGCATTTGAAAAATGTTTATTATATGCCAAGTAGAAGGGGATTTGAAGTTCGAGCATACTTTGACAAGCAAACAAAAAGACGATTTTTCTGGTCAAAGTGTAACTGTTCAAGTAGTTCAACGAATCAGTCGAGGAATGAGGATGTCATAGAAGACGATAATATTCCAGATGAGTTTTATTGGGCACTATTTGGCAATAAGAATAAAAATTGAAAACCGAGATTGGTCATATCGCAGCAGAACGTTCAGAATTACCTGTTATGCAGTATACTTTCATCAAAGGTATTATTAAAACCGGGCTTTTCGCTTGTAATATATGCGGAAAAAAGTAAACAGCATCTCATGATTTAATGTTTTTCCGTGGTATTGATATTTTCGTGATCAATTTTAGAAATATTAGGAAATAATTAGGAAAATGTGCAATAGAATAAATGGTTACAAGCAGAAATGTTATATCAAAAGTTTTTCAGACAAGCAAAAGTATAAATGTAAATTTTGCTGAATGTGTGTTAAGAGTACGAAAAACACAATCCAGAAGCACAACCCTATGAGAGGGATACTGTTCATTTCTTTTGTCGCGATAAAGCAACATTCAAAAAAAATTTTATTCCAGGTCAAACGAAACAAGGTCCATAGTTCGACAAACATAAGAAAGGAAAAGTGCTAATTAGAAGCTACGAATCAGAAGCTATCAGAAGAATCAGAAGCTACGTATTATTTTTTATCAGAATTTAGCGGCGGATTTCAGATCTAAATGTTCACGTTCACAGTCTTAATGTGATATTGGATTTTCTGATCCGCTTTATCATTATTCTCTTTATTTTTCCACATTTCATTAGGAATGGTACAAACATATTAGCTGACAGCGATACGTGAACGTAATATTTAGACATATAAAATAAAATTTGCATGTATAAATAAATAACTTCTAATCGAAACAGTTATTACACAAAGCATCAAAAGTAAAGCGGAAAATGCTCATCTAAGGATTTGTAGCAAATGGTCACATCAGTGGGAGGTTAAGAAAATTTAAATTAACAGGGGAAACATGGAACTTCGTCGTAAAAGTATTTATGATACAATTTTTGGTAATAATTAAACTTAAATTCCGTACACATAAAGCTCTTTTTCTTCCATTTGTATCGTTTACAGCAATGAAAATTAATATTTTAAATATAATTAATCACTAATGTTGTTAATGCCTCAAAGAACTACTGTTGAAGTATATGTCCAGTGATTCCAAGCGACAATTTCTTAGCAGTTAAATTCATTTTCACGCAAGTGATCTAAACAGCCAGTGATGTGTGACATAAAGAAATTAAATGTAGTTGTTGACGTGGCGTTCCGTTGATTACAGAAAATTACGCAAAATAGGAAAACAAAAGAATGCCAACACATTAATGAAAATC